AAAAAAAGTAAAACTTTTAATGGTTTGGAGCATTCTGAAAATCAAACTTGGAACCTCTTGTGTCCAAAGCAAGAATCATACCACTAGGTTGCAGCTCAAGAAATAATGGTCTTTGTAGAAGTTGTTTTTATTCATGCTAATGATTTTGAGCAACTTTCTCCTTGTAAGAATTTTGTTCTACATCCTTTCAAGAATAAACTGGTTCCATCCATGGCAATTAGATTAAAGAGATTTTTATGGATCATTTCATTTGCCTCATTGATTTATGATCTTAAGCAACCTATGATTTTTGTTAATTTTCTATTTATCTATAGAAATTATTAGAAGCCTTGAACTTTCAAAGATTTTTAAGAGCATGTCCGAGCCATTTCTATGTTGATGCTTCACCACTTAGAAACTCGAGATTGAGTTTTCACTGAATGGGTAGAATGATCCAGAACTGATGATATTATTTTGGATCAAATTTTCAGTTAATCTTTTTGACAATTACTATTATTTTGTATTTCTAAGTTATTTATGTTATTTAGATTTATTAGGCATTGTAATGTTCGAGTTTTCTATTTATGTAGATCTTAAGTGTTATAGGAATTATAATCTTTTATATTTTGTCTTTTATATTTTTACTTATTAGTTGTAATTAATTTCTATGTAAAGGTAGTAGCTACCAAGAATAGATAATAGATGAAGATGATGTAAAAAATTCCTTGTAAGGGTTTTGCTCTCTGTTATTTCTCTTTGTATTCATATTTCAAAAGAAAAAAAGAAAGAAATTCTCTTCGTATTTTTTTTATTATTGTTCTGTCTAACCTATCTCGGTTTTGTCTACTTATCCCTATATTTCTTTACTTTGATCTCTATTTTTTTTAAAGAAAAAGAGATGTTATCAAGGGCAACAAAAGATATACTACAATGTCATAGATAAGAAGTCCTCCTAGAGCCTTGTAATAATAGAGCTCTAATGCATAATACAACCAAACTCCACAAAGCTCGGTGTATTATTGCCTCCTGATTTTTATATAAAATGGAAATAGAAATATCAGTGAATTTTCCTAGGTCTTGGCCGATAAGGAAGCGAGAATATAGAGTGCTCCCACAAAACTTGAATCGGGGAGATAAGGTCTTAAAAAATCCCATTGTCCAGTTCCAGCCATAGCTTCCAAAATCCTGCAAAAAATGCATCCTTCCATAGAGCTTTAGCTTTTTCCAGCACGCTTCTATCATAGATTCAAACTCATGAAGCTCTCCAAAGGAGGAGCAACCTGCATCAACTCAAACATGTCAAACAATCTCGTCCACAACTACCAAGCCACTTCACACTGGAGAAATAAATGATTATGAATCTCTGGTTTCCTGCAATTTATAATGCAAACAGCTGGTTTATTTTTTTCTTAAAAAAAAATGCAAACAGCTGGTGAAAGAGTACGATATGGTTCCAGCAATTCATCAATGTTGAACCTGTTAATAAATGCGGTCTAAGCAAACACCTTAACTTTAGAAGGAACTTTTGTTCACGAAAACACATTGGGGAAAGGAGTATGATAGCAATTAGGAGTATTTGTTATATGACCAAAGAGAGATTTACAAGTGTACAATCTGGGGGATTCTAAAGTCATATCCTGATGTTAGGTTGGTTGTAATGGTGAAAGGTCTCTAACAAGTTTAACAAAGTTATCATGTTGTTGGCCTCCCATTATGACTTGTAATGAAATGAAGATTCCAAGACAAAGAACCTTTATGTGGGACACAAAAATCAGAGATAAGGGCGTTGTGGTTTGAAGAAACATTAATAATTGAGATAAATGATTAGCAGTGAACTTTCAGCAATCCAAAAATCCTCCTAGAACAGCACTCTTGAGCCATCTCTCATGTTGCCACAGGTTATGGGAACGTATAGATCATGCGAACGGGGATGACCTTGCATGA